TAAATATTCAGGTTAAAGTGGTAGCTGTCATTGGACAGAACAGATCACATTTCAACGACAGCCACTTCCAACATCTGTCTCACCAGACAGTCATCCTAAATTTAAAGATGGACAGTGTGCAGTCACCTGCCTGTTCCATATATATTCATTCTAGTGCAGGTAATGGAGGATTTAAGTCTCTGAATGACAAAAGAATAATGTATATAGAAAAGCTATGGATTCTAGAGACCTGGAGCAGTTATAAAACTGCTTTAATAAATTGACTGCTGGCCAGTCAGAATAGAAAAGATCTGTTAACCCTTCAGCAGAGGCTGGACATCAAACATCAGTCCTGGTGAGGGATTCTACTGCATTTTCTTTCAAATACTGGCTGACCTGAAGTGTATTTTCCATTCTAATTTCAGTTTATTGACCTTGGACATTTTAACAGGACACCATATACACAGTGGATTGAGTAACAAGCCTAAGTATGCTGGGGATTATTGACACTTTCTGGATATTGGTAACTGCATTGAAAATTCATCAGTTGATTGCATTTGTGGATTAGTTTCTTTATATCTTGTGATATCTGGTGATATACACTGAGACAGAACTTATTGCTGGATTGCAGGTTGCCAAGGAGATTTGGTATTCCAAATACAGATACTTGATTTCCTGGTGTCTCACAATAATTGCTGCTATGCCTTTAGTTCATTACAGTATTATCAGGACAGAGAGTTAAAAGGGGGAAAATGGCATGAGGCTTTTCTCCAGAGCTGTGGCTAATGTTGACTCACTACTATCCTAACATTTGAGCTGTTGTCTTGGTTACAGGAGAATAGTTTCAGTGCACCATGAGTGCCCTGGGTTACATTACACATAACACATGGAGATAGCTTCCATGTAGACAACTATCAATTGCAACCACATTGATCTGCTTGTTCAGCACTAACAGAGTAACTCCGTGAAGACTGGAAATGCATGAACTGTGGGGTTTTTTTTGCTTTTGGTCTCTCTGACAGTTTTGCAATGAAGTTTTCCATGTGCACTTGTGTGGCAAATGGCCAATCCTCAGGATTCAGATAGAATAAATCTGACATGATGTGATGTGATTGAATGGAAACGTAGATGATATAATTAGTAAGTTTGCAGATGACATGAAAATTGGTGGTGCTATTGATAGTGAGGAGGATGGTCTCAGGCTGTACTCTGATATTGATCAGCTGGTAAATTGGGCAGAACAAATGCTGTTGGAACTTAATCCTGATAAGTGTGAGGTGGTGCATTTTGGGAGATCTAATAAGGGAAGGATATACACAATGAATGGTAGGTCCCTAGGAAGTGCTGAGGAACAATGGGACTTTGGTATACAAGTCCACAGATCCCTGAAGGTGTCAGCATAAGTAGACAGGGTGGTGAAGAAGGTGTAAGAGATGCTTCCCTTCGTTAGCCAGGGCATAGAATAGAGAAGCAAGGAAGTCTCGTTACAACTTTATAAAACATTGTTAGGCCACAGATGGAATACTGATGCACTTCTGGTCACCCTATTATCAGAAAGATGTGATTGTACTGGAAAGGGTGCAGAGAAGATTCACCGCGATGTGTTCCTGTGGTGAAAAATCTCAATTAAATTGAACATGCTGCCTGACAGGGTGATGGAAGCAGGTACTCTCGCAACATTTAAGAAGCATCTGGACAAGCACTTAAAATGTCAGGTCAGGATGGGCTATGGACCAAGCACAGATAAATAGGATTAGTGTAGTTTGGTGTTTGTTGGTTAGCATAGATATGGTAGACTATACGCCCGTTTCTATGCTGTATGAGTCTATGACTCTATGGCCTGAGAGGAGTTATGAAGCAGCTGGCAAGTTGGTGAGAGAAGCAGTAACCTCACTGGTTGCTGGTTTCCATTAGGTTTAGAACTGGCGACATACAAACTTGGCATGAAAACATCTACAAAGGAACACGTTTTTCTGTGAGGCAGAGCAGAGGTGATTCTGACGTACTTTGGATCAACCATTTTGATGAGGGAAGTCTATGGATGTTGGCAATAATTAGCTCTGTAGGTTTCACATCATGGGATGTAAAGACTTTCAATAAACATAACCACTGAGAATGAAACATCACACCTCAAGCCATAATCTGCATCTGGGAGTGTCTTGAAACGCTAATCAAACAGAGCCTCCAAATAGGAAGCTGAATGATAAACTCCAAGTAGATTGACTGAAATTTGATTACAAGTGCCCATTATCCCTGTTTCAATAAGAGTGCTGACAAAAAAACTTGTTGGCTGTGAGTCACTGTTTCATCGGACTGTCAGAAGAAATGTTGTCCAAAGGCACAAAGGTGAGAAGACAATTTTCATCTTCTGGGTCACTCCCTCCTTTCTGAAAGTTGGGGTGCCCCATTGACACGTAAGGCTAGGCTAATGCAATTTTCAAGCAGGGTTATAAATGGCTGAGCAGTTTACCCACCTGAAATAGATAGGTACCTGCTTAAAAATGCAATTCTGGTTTTTACTCTGGCTGTTGGACTTTTTATAAGTACATTTTTATAAGTACATTGGCAGTTTGTCCAAGTTGTGGCAAATATTGAATCACTTAACCCGAAATTCTTAAAAGAACCTTACAAGGTTGCTCAAAAACAGGCTCAAAACTCTATTATTTTAATTAGTGGGCCTTCAGAGTGGCAGACATTAAAAATTCGCTGGCTTGTTTATGGCTCATTTCACTGCAAAACGGGAACCAGTTGTTTTCTATTGAATGGCATTTGAATAATTAGTCATAATAGCTTCCAACTCTAATCTCATGTCTTCATATTCTATTTGGCATAACATGTCATGTTCATATGTGATTTTGTTATAAAGGCAACTTTTGTATTTGAGGAATTGATTAAACAATTGGTAATTTTTTAATAGAATATTTACATGCTTCAGTTAGCATGCTCAGTGACACAATCCTTGTTTCAGCTCTAGAAAGGTAGTGCTGAGGATGTAACTGAGGAGCTAGACACTGAACACATAACATTTGTCTTTGTGACAGTGTATTACAAATCATTCTGTTTGACTGTGCAGGCTATTCGCTTTGTTGGTAAAGCTCTTGACAGCCCTGCATGCTGCATCAAGCGTAAATATTACTTTTAATTTTTCACTTGCAAAGTCATACACCCTCTGCTGGTAAATGAGCAAATGTTTCCACATCCAGTCAGCATCACTGCTGGTAACAAATGTCAAATTAGAAGTGATTAACTGATCTAAATGGCTTGGCCCAGAAAGTAAAACGTGTAGAGAGGTGTGCGTGTGCATATCCCAGGAGCAATAATTTACCTGCCAAACCATGTTTATAAAATCCCTACTGTGCAGAAGGAGGCCACACAGTCCATTGGGTCTGCACCGAGCTCCAAGAGCATCCCACCATGGCTGACCCACCTAGCCTGCACATCTGGGCAGTACAGCATGACCAATCCACCTAACATTCACAACTTTAGACTGTGGAAGGAAACTGGAGCACCCAGCGGAAACTCATGCTGACACAGGGAGAACGTGCAAACTCCATACAGACAGTTATCAATTCTGGAAATGATCCTGGGTCCCTGGTACTGTGAGACTGCAGTACTAAACATTGAGTCACTGTGCTGTCTGTATTATCCAGCATTGGTCTGCCAATCACTCTAAATCAGGTCCACTGGGTGGATAAGTCATCTGTTGGCCTGACATCAGGATCCCAAAGTCACTGCTTCGCACAGAACCCAGTCTCACAGGAGAGTCCCTAGAGGACTGCAAGCATCCTTGAAGAGGACAAGTATCTGTGCCAACTGATAGGTGACTTTGCTTGTGACTGACCACATTTGAATACTGATTCGAGAAGGTTCCAAATGTATTCAAGGATTTGGCTAGGAAAATGCAGAGGTGAAGTTGTGGCATTGGAAGGAGTGCATAAATCTCCAAACAACCCATCCAACAGAATCTTCAAGCACCACCTTCCCACGTGTGGGAATATTTTTAATTTTCATAGGCCTGTAAACATGCAGGAAACGTTAGCAGTGACATTTGAAATGACAAACAAATCTTATTTAGATGAAGTGCTTATTTTCCCAGTGAAATACATTTATATTTGTATTTTAAGTTCATATTTTAACCGAAATGATCAAATTTGGTTCTAGCTGAGTGAGACACGACAAGTATAAATTTTACTTGCTCATAAACCATTAATATTTAATTTATATCAGGACTGATTAAAAATTGTTATCATGAAATATTCACTGCTTCTCTATCCACCTAAGCTACCTGATAAAAAGCAAAAGAATTGTGGATGCTGTAAATCAGGACCAAAAGCAGAAGTTGCTGGAAAAGCTCAGCAGGTGGCAAATGGTAGAATTTGAATTCAGTAAATGTCTGGAATCTAATGATGATCATGAAGCCATTGTCTAATGTTAGAGGGAAAATCCCACGTCCTAATGTCATTAATGTCGTTTAGGGAAGGGAATTCTTAACTGGTTTGACCTACGTATGACTCCAGACCCACAGCAATGGTTGGCACTTAACTGCCCTCTGGGCAATTAGGGATGGATAATAAATGCTGGCCAAGCCAGTGACATTTGAATAAACAAAATAAACCTGTGAAAAATTGGGGAAATTGAAAGCGATTTAAGTTAGACCATGCTGAATCCCTAAATTAAGGATTAATCTAAATCCCAGTGCCTGGATAATTCCATTAATAGTATTGACAGCATTTAGAAATTTATACTATGTTTTGAACCAGTTTGCAGTTCTTGGAAGCAACGATTCTTGCAGCAGCACTTCCAGTTTTTTGGGTCTTTAGCATTGGCTGGAAATATCCACAATAGATGGAAACTCATGGCTGGGAATGCACTAGATTGCAAGGAATTTCCATTATACCAAGGCATAGCACATTGGAATTATCCATCTTGTTTCTTAAATTAATGGTTCTCTCCAGACTCTGGAGAATTGAAAGCATATATAAGGCACCACAGATCATGTACTGTATCTTTTCTGTTTCAAGTGACTGAACTTCAACAACGAGTAGTGTTCCACCCATCAGTTACCATTAAAGAAGGGTATTTACACAAGCGGAAAGCAGAGGGAGTCAACCTTGTCACTCGTTTCACCTTCAAGAAACGCTATTTCTGGCTAAGCAGTGAAACCCTGTCATATGCCAAGACTCCAGATTGGCAGGTGAGAGCATTATTTTTCCTGGTAATATGGATATCTAATTCATAGGTTTGGACCTTCATATAAAGCAGCTGCTGGCCTCTTTGAAAAGATAAAAGTGGTGTCCAGCCCAAGACATCTGTATAAAATTAGGCTTCTTATGGAATTCTGATTCATGGCTACCATTTCTAGTCTTGAAACATAATAATCTTAATTGGTTTAACTTTCCATATTCCCAAACTGAATTGGCACAATTAAGATGTGCAGCACTTGCATTCTGATCTCAGCCCATAAGCAGTCTGAACACCGTCCCAGAACTAGACTTATCAAAAATCCTTCTTGTCTATCCTAAATCTCCCAGAGGAGATTATATACCAATCCTCTTCATTAATGATATAGTGCTCAAGTCTTAATACATAGGATTGTTAAATTCATTTAAAAGAAACTTATCCTGGGGGGATTGGGGAGAGAACCTGTTTCTGGTTTATAGTCATGCTCAACATTGAAAGAATGATTCAAGACCCAAGTAATAAGTAACTCCTTGTGTTATTTTCATGAAGAGTGCCAGAAATAATTCAAAGAATAATCATGTTCCAACACTGATATCTGACATATAAAGCGAAACCGTTCATTCCTTCACAGATTTGACAATCTAATTCATATTTCTGGTACAAAGGAGGCAGCAGAGCAGTGCAGCGTTGACACATTAATGTGGGGCCCCATGGAATGTTGGTCAATAGCTCTCATGTGCAGAGAGTTCCAATCTGAACTGTGTGATTCATGTTGAGTAAATGTATCACACCTCATTGCTATTTAATTCCGGGAAAAGATTGCAGTGGAAGTGTACATATTCAGTTTTTGTAAACTATACTTCCATTGAAGACGATGAAAGGTAGAAACAAGAAACAAAATAAGATTTTATTGACAAAATAAAGGCTTGAACATAATTCTTAAAACAGTTAATAATTTAAGGTTGTTTTGTAGAAAGATATTTCCTGCAATTCATAATGGCAGGGAAATTGAATTTTTACCAATTTTGCAGTCACAACAATCTTAAGAGATATTGTTGTTGATTAGGCTGGAAACTACTTTTCAAAGAGGACAACAGCAGTTTTATATTGAGTTCAAAGGAATGAATGAGATTTGCTTCATCCAAAGTACAATGGTTCTAATATTGGTGAGAACAAAGCAACATAGCTTTGTGATTTTGTGTTCACTAACTGTCCGCCCAGGTTTTCTGCAAATTAATAAGAGCCATTCATTTCATTTCAAAGGATTGTTCCATTCAATCCTGAGTCTGCAGGTTATAGTACAATACATGAAACAATTGAACTAAGCAATTAATGAATTATTATTACAGACTTGTTTGGATTATTTTTGTTTTGCACATTTCCGCGTTGATTTAATCATGCTGTTAATCCACTTACAATACATGGGCTAGTTCATCCATTGACATACCAGGTGGTATTCAGATACTTGAATAATTTCTTCACAGTAATTTCTAAAGTATGCAAGATCTTCAGTACGAATAAAGAAAAGTCCTGACATAGAGAGACAGCAGCATGATCAAGTATTGCCATAAACATAAATAATGAATTATTTTTTAAGGTAAAATCATGAAGCTAATAATTCACTTTTCACTTACGGATATAACTGTTACTCATTGAAGGATGTTGAAAGCAATTTATTTAAAAGGGGGAAGAGATTAACGTTCTTGCATATATTGTGCTCATAAATGCACACACAGCAATCCCAGGTGTTATGCAAGAACGCTTCTTACCAGATCCTGCCTGAGTTATTGGAGTTTGTGCATTTGACCAAGGGTAGCCTGTCAAGCAAAGCAATTCCATCAGTACTGATGCTTCTTCAGCACCTACACCTTAAAGGTGAGAAAATCCTGATCACTAGGAGAAAGGTTTATCAGGTCCCTAAAGAAGAGACCTCCTATAAATGGCTCCAGGTGACTTCCCTTACCCCTTTCACCAGTCACTGAGGGTAGACAGCAATCCCTCTGGAGATTAATATGTATCTTCTGTTTTAGTGTACTGTGGTGAACCAGGAAACTCTTGTTTTAGGAAATCCTTGTATTTGGCCATTAGCCGTCTTCATTTCAGGGCAGTGCGAGAAGTCCCGAATGAAACTGGATCCCTGTCATGGTTCAGTAAGTTTAAGCAAACTCCAGAACAAAAACAAAGTTGCTGGAAAAGCTCAGCAGGTCTGGCAGCATCTGTGGAGGAGAAAACAGAGTTAACGTTTCGGGTCCAGTGACCCTTCCTCAGAACTGATGGTGGCTGGGAAAACATCAGTTTATATGCAGAAAATAGGGAGGTGGGTGGCATAGGGAGTAAACGATAGGATAGAGCCCAAAGAGAGAGAAAGACAATTGGACAGACAGAGGAGTTGCTAGTGCCACTAATATCCATTACAAACCCACCGACTCCCACAGCTACCTGGACTATACATCCTCACACCCCACTTCCTGTAAAGACTCCATCCCATTCTCTCAGTTCCTCCGTCTCTGTCGCATATGTTCAGATGAGGCCAACTTTGACAAGGGACCCTTCAAAATGTCCACATTCTTCCTCAACCGAGGATTCCCCAGCTCCGTTGTCGACAGGGCCCTCAATCGGGTCCGACCCATCTCCCACACTTCTGCCCTCACCCCTTCTCTTCCCTCATGCAACAGCGATAGGGTTCCCCTTATCCTCACCTACCATCCCACCAGCATCCACATCCAGAAGATCATCAGACGCCATTTCCGCCACCTCCAGCAAGATGCCACCACCAGACACATATTCCCCTCCCCTCCCTTGTCCGCCTTCCGCAGGGACCGTTCCTTCCAGGACACCCTGGTCCATACTTCCTTCACCACCAACACCTCCCCACAGCCCTACGGCACCTTCCCCTGTAACCGGCGAAGGTGCAACACCTGCGCATTTACCTCCTCCCTACCCAGAATCCAAGGGCCCAAACATACCTTCCAGGTGAAGCAACACTTCACCTGCACTTCCAAGAATCTAGTCTACTGCATTTGCTGCTCACAATGTGGTCTCCTCTACACTGGGGAAACGAAGCGTAGACTTGGCGACCGCTTCGCAGAACATCTACGTTCTGCTCGCAAAAAAAACCCTGAACTACCTGTTGCCTGCCACTTCAATGCACCACCCTGCTCCCTGGCCAACATCTCTGACTCCGGCTTGCTACAGTGTTCCAGTGAAGCCCAATGCAAGCTGGAGGAACAATACCTCATTTTCCGCTTGGGGACCCTACAGCTCTCCGGACTCAATATTGAGTTCAATAATTTTAGGGCCTAAACTCTCCCATGTCCCAGCCCCCCACTCCACACACCAGGCCTTGTTACCACATAGCCTGCCATTACACACCCCCTGTTGTTAGTCACTAACAGTCCCCATTAACAACTATTCACCCTCCCAACCTGATCGTTAGCAACTCCTTTGTCCAACTGTCTTTCTCTCTCTTTAGGCTCTATCCTATCGTTTACTCCCTACCCCACCCACCTCCCTATTTTCTGCATATAAACTGACGTTTTCCCAGCCACCATCAGTTTTGAGGAAGGGTCACCGGACCCAAAACGTTAACTCTGTTTTCTCCTCCACTGATGATGCCAGACCTGCTGAGCTTTTCCAGCAACTTTGTTTTTGTTCCTGATTTACAGCATCCGCAGTTCTTTTGGTTTTTATTAAGCAAACTCTAGCTGGGATTATGACCTGTCAAAATTCTCAAGGGAATTTGGAGCTATTATGTAGAATAAATATTACAAAATGAAATTAGAATCAGTGTCAGTTCTTGTCATTTAGCTTCCCATAATCATGGGTTAAGGTTTGTATCAACAACTCCACAGATGAAGAGTAATGCAACTGTCTGTTTATGAATACATCAGAATATGAGTATCAGAACATCAGAATGAACATGGAACAATGTGAGGTAATGTACTTCGGGAGGCCTGACAACGTCTCAATGACACTATGAATGGTAGGACCCTGGAAAGTACTGAAGATCAGAAGAACCTTGGTGTGCATTTCCACAAATCCCTGAAGGTAGCACAGCAAGTAGATAAGGTGTTCATAATGCATGTGGCACACTTTGGGTTTGACAGGGAGGATTTGGAGCCTTGTGGGCTCTGGAGAGGGGAAGACTTTGGAGTGGGGAGGGCTCCAAAGCAGGCTGGAAGGCAGCTGTTATGTCTGGGATCCCACACAGAGGTCCAACTGGTGCTGTCAGGGATGAAAGTCTGTTCCCACGAGGTTCAGCTGCTGGATTTTCTGAGACCTTATGGCCATTCTTAATCCTGCAAAGCAGGTGAAATCTTAGACTGCCAGCCTCATTCAAACAAATAAATTGGCAACCCAGTTCCTGAGAGTAAATTGGCTGCCCATTCCTTGCTGCTTCGGTGAACCCAGGAAGTGGCAGATTTGAGGTTGGGTCTGAGATTCATTAACGTTTGAACATTTGACCCAACTATAACCCAATCATTTTGGGGATTGAATGTCATTCCAGTGACTCTGTCAAATATCAGTGTTTTGGGCACTTTTAGAGGGAAGTTCCAAATTCAACCTGTCTCAAAACAAAAGTTGTGAGGATATTGTTGCTGAAATGGAGATGAGGAATTGGTGGTTCTTGATCCTACATCAGGAACTGTCCATCATCTAGTCCAGCTCCAATTAACTTTACATTGCATTTGTTTAGAATAATTTTTTGAGGCTTTGCTGATGTGATCATTTTCTTTCAGACAAATATTGTTTTGATGTTAAGTCTTCTCACTATATTGAATTATATTGCATATCCCCCAGTAACTGATAGTTATGGCTGCTCATTATGAGCTATCAGTGGTCTACTTTCAACTTGTACCATTGCTTTGTGTAAGATTCATCAGTGCAACTTTGCTGTTTGTCATCAGCTAGATTGATTGTTTAAAGTGTCGAGTGTTGAGCTACAAAATTAATGAGTTCCTTGGTTTTCTCCAAGGAATAACGTGTCTGCATCTGGTTCATTTGACACGTAGTCAGCAGGATTATCTGATCTAGGACAATAACTAATGATCATGTTATAGCAACAAACACTAGAACTAACTGAGATAACAAGGTGTAAAGCTGGATGAACACAGCAGGCCGAGCAGCATCAGAGGAGCAGGAAGGCTTGGCTTGCTGTGTTCATCCAGCTCTACACCTTGTTATCTCAGATTCTCCAGCATCTGCAGTTCCTACTATCACTAGAACTAACTGGACAGCTTTGACAGAATGTATGAAACAAGGTCTGAACTCTGGCTGCCTGTCCTGGTCCAATTATTCCACCTTTTTCACTTCATTCAATCTGCCAACCAGATTCGCTCTTGACGTGCATGTACAATACTGCAGGAGATCAACAAGCAATGCACAAAACATTTTACAAATGCCCCTCTATGGATGCTATGTCACATTTTATTATCTATGTTTTATGATCGTAAAGCAATGTCTTAAAACTAGCAGAACTTTTTTTTTATTCATTCACAAGATGTGGATATTGCTGGCCGTGCCAGATTTATTGCCCATCCCTAATTGCCCAGAGGGCAGTTAAGAGTCAACCACATTGCTACGGGTCTGGAGTCACATATGGGCCAGACCAGGTAAGGACAGCAGCTTCCCTCCCTAAAGGACATTAATGAATCATATGGGTTCTTCCCAACAATTGGCATCGGTTTCTCAGTCATCCCTGGACTCTCAATTTAAGGTTTTCACTGAATTCAAATTCCATTGTCTATCATGGTAGGATTGGAGCCCAGGTTCCCTGGGTCTTGATTAATAGTATAGTGATAATACCACTAGGCCATCACCTCCCCAGTTTCAGCATAGATGAGCTGGCAGAGGACAGATTAGGAGGGCATATAGCATTAAAAATGGATCCTGGGGCACCGAATCTCTAATCTGAAGTCTTCCAGCTGGAAACAGGCTGAAGGTCTGAAAATGGCAGCACGTTGTGATAGAACTAGCAGGTGCATTTCCTAAGCCCTTAACCCTATGGAACCTTGATATGAATGAAATGCTTGTGGTCAAAGATTATTCCATGACACTGGCCTGCTGCAAATAAATCCCCTTCAAGGCAGGCAATGGCCCAGTGGTATTATTGCTCGGCTATTAATACTGGAACTCAGCTCGTCTTCTGAGGACCTGGGTTCAAATCCTGCCAAAGCAGATGGTGCAATTTGAATTCTATGCATATATCTAAAAAAAAATCTGCAATTAAGAGTCTAATGGTGATCATGAAACCATTGAAATAGCCCATCTGGTTCACTAATGTCCATTAGGGAAGGAAATTTGCCATGCTTACCTGGCCTGGCCTACATATGATTCCTGACCCACAGCAACGTGGTTGACCCAGGATGGTTAGGGCCTTCGCCAGTGACGCCCACATCCTGTGAAATGAACATAAAAATAGCCAGCCCCTTTCCATTAATGCACTGCTGTCTACTGCCTTCATTTTTTAATTTGCTGGTTGATTGATTGTTTAATTTACTAATTCCCTATTTTGCCTTGTTAATCAGTGATCTATTATTGTGAGTGATCACGCATGTTGTTCGTGTTGGTTTCTGTCAATTCAGTATTCATTGGACGTTGATTAAAAAAAAATCATAAATTACATTTTTCTGTTTTTCCCTCTTTTTTAAATCCCAACTATTATCAGATATAAGGTGATTTTACCAATCCAGGTTCCCAAATTTAGTTCAAAAAATTCTTTTTTTCTCTTTGCATTGACAAATTCTTTTTCTGTATTTATTTTTTTTAAAAATCTTATCATTTTCCAGCTGGAATTTGAAACTATTTTGAGAATATGTCACCCCCACACTGAAGTGGGAGCTGTGAGGTGATGAATCAGAATCTTTTGAGTTCACTCAAGAATCTGCTTATGTTTTATGTACTGTGTAACATGTGTCAGGTACGGTCATCTATTCCAGTCCAGCGTATCTGCGCGGTTGAGCGAGTGGATGAAAATGCCTTCCAGCAGCTCCATGTGATGCAGATCATCACCCAAGACAACGAGGCCCAGCTACACATTATGTACATCCAGTGCAAGGTACGTTATTTTTCAATTCCTTCCATCTTCGAAAGAAATACATTATATTCAACATTGCTCCCCCCTGCAGATGCTTAGAAATAAGACTGACTCCTGCTTCCCACAAACCACCACCACCACACCCCCCATACCAAGTGAACATTTAGTCCTTGATGTAAGGCAGAATGCAGAGAGTATAGCAACAGTCTTACTTGGGCCAACAGAGCGAGAGTTTTCCTTTATTTTTCTCATGGGATGTAGGTGTCTCTGTTATGGCCAGTATTTGTTGCTTGTTCCTAATTGCCCTTGAACTCGGAAAGTTGCTGGTCCATTTCAGAAGGCAGTTAAAGGTCAACCACATTGCTGTGGACCTGGAGTCACACGTAGGCCAGACCAGGTGAGGAGAACAGATTTCCTTCTCTAAATGACTTTAGTGATCTAGATGGATATTATGTCAATTGATGGCAGTTGTCAAGTCATTACTAAAACTAGCTTCTGGATATATTCATGGAGTTTAAATTTCACTAGCTGCTGTGATGGCATTTGAATCTCTGTCCCCAAAAGCATTAATGTGGAGCATCTAGATTAATAATCCAGTGATATTATCACTAGGCCACCATTGCCCATCTCTGCCTGAAATGTGACCCCATGCTTGAGAATGAGAAGAATATGAAGGGATTGTGAGTAATGGTCAGAGTCATGCAAGTTATCATATTAATGTTAATGTAATCTTAATGTACTTTTAATGTAATGTTAATAAAGGCAAACCTTCACTCATTAACACCACGCCTAATTGCTGGGCTTTTAGTGCTGACCTCTTTGATCTTTTCTGTCTATCTGCTTTCAGTTATGAATATGTAAAGATGTAGTTATTTGGGGAGGAGGGTGACGAGTCACCTTAGGGCTTTTTTTTCCTCCCACAGCCTCTGATTTGTTTCCAGATTCCTGGCTGTGAACAGTAATGCAGCTCTGAGCAGCTGCCAGAGACTGACAGCTTGTATGAGCGATGGAAACCTCCTGGGAGTAGCTCAGTGGGAAACAGTCAGATCTGGTTATTGTTCTTATGTGTACACTTGGCCGTCGGGAACCACGAGTAATCTGTCAAACTGATAGCAACCACATCGCTGTGATCCCCCACTCCCTGCCCCCAGCTGAGGACTGAAATGTTTACAGGGAGCCACTCATCACCTGACTGATTCATGGATCAATGCAAATCTGTTCTGTACTGTGTACTTAAAACATTTAAAACAAGATGACTTGTGGCGGAATCTGTCTTGTGGCATATTTGGACGTACAGAGAGCACTTACTCAAGCAGGAGGGTGGCAAAGGAGCAAGCTGTCATGTTCCCACCCATGGTCTGACTTCCCACTTGCATGGCGATTAAAGACCACTTAAGGTCATCCCATCATAATAAACATTAACACAGTGATGGCTGGGTCTGTCGCCCCAAGGGGTAAACCTGAGACAGCTGCCCCAAGCTTTAGTGCATTCCTCAGCACGTAGTCCAGGATCTACATGCCGTTCTGTAACACTCTGTCAGGGTTAACTCTTAAGTTAAAACCAACAAGTTTCAGATGGACCAAAGAGCATATTTCACCAAGCTGATGGTCTTCCAGGTGCATTTGATGTTTGGCTCAGTGTGTGTCACCCAGGGAACAGACTGTAGAGCACAGAGTAAAGCTTGGGGCAGCTGTCACCAAGGCACACTGGGGAAAGACCATTGCCCGAGGTCTTCCTGCTGAAGGTAAATGGAGGTCTGTTCAGTTGTTGGATTCTCCCAGGATCTCTCATATATATAAACATCAGTATTGTATGTATAATAGAGATCTTTGGTTTTTTTGGATAGAGTCAAAGTCTAATGTTTTGTTTGTTTACTTGATATGCAGCTGTACAAAATTGAACTGCATTTGTGACAATGTACACATGCAAAGATTTTTTTATAAATAAAGTATATTTTTGAAATTTAAAAAAATGTAAACCTGAGAGCCAACCTGTGTGGGCTGCTCATGGTCTGCCCTGGGGGAGGCCCTTGTTCAAAAATGCAGTGCCTGATGGAGGAACCTGGCATTGGGAAGTAGGCATGGAGCTGCCAAAAGCAACTTGCTGCCGACATCAATCCCTCAACAGTCCCGAAAGCCTGTGACCCCCACCTACAAAAGCAATTCCGCCATCACTTACCTCTGGCCTGGATCACTCAGGATCCTGGGCCTCCAGTTACTGTCACCCCAGTTGCGGCCATCGGCTCTCCAATGGCCAATGATGTGGTCAAGGGTGAAGCCAATGCTAGGTTCCCATTGTTGCCCCATCTTCAGCACAATGGACAGTTCAAACAAATCTCGAGCTAGATCTGAATTCATGGTGTGTTTATTCACAGAACCAGGGCAGGTGCCAGGGATTGGGCTCTAAATGTTCTGGGTGAGCCCCAATGACTAATAAATGGCAAATGAGGGGGCCTTTTGTGGCACAGTAATAGTGTCCCTGCCTCTGAACTCGAAGGCCCAGGTTCAAGTCCCACCTGCTCCAGGAATGTGTAATAACATCTCTGAACAGGTGGATTAGAAAAATAGGTTAATAAAAAAAAGCAGCAATTTACCAAACTATAAAAAGCTGCCCAGCTCTCAGAAATGAATATTTGTTATTATAATTAATTGTGTAATTATTGCTAACTGCTCAGAGTTCATGATGCCTTAAGTGCTCAGTTAAAGAAGGCACAGGGAAAATATTGATTTGAATGGTGAAGGCATTTTTTTAAAAAAAGAGTATAGATCCATTTATTTTACTTGTAATATTGTGCTGCTACGGTTACACAATTGGAAATGACAAAGACTGTGGGCAGAAGCTTTAAATGTAGCTGTTAGAAAAACTACTTGATTACTGATTTTAATACTTGTAATTCAACAAACATATTATAATGTAATACTTGACCCTGACATGAGCTTCCAGCCTCATTTTAGCACTGTCACTAAAACCAGCCATTTCCAGCTCTGTAACAATCATTCAACAACACCTCTGTCTTAGCTCATCTGCTGCTGAAACCCCCTTCTGAGCATCTGTAACCTCTAGAGTTGATAATGCATTGCTGGCTGGTCTCCCACTTTCTACCTTCCATTAACTTGAGGTCAGCCAAAGCTCGGTTCTCCACGGCTCAACTCAAAGTACGTCCTCTATCCCTCTTATGGTATTTAATGTACATTGGCTCCCTGTCAAACAAAGGCTTGACTTTAAAATTCTTCTCCTTGTTTTCAAAACCCTCCTTTTCTCTGTAATCTGCTCCCACTCCACAACTCTCTGATATATATGTCTTCCCCCAGTTTTAGCCATTTGTACATTCTCAACCACAATCGTTCTATCATTGCTGGCCATGCTTTCAGTTGCCTAGGCTCCAAGGTTTGGAATTCCCTCCTTACACCAGCCATCTCTCTACCTCGCTTTCCTTTATGATGATAGTCCTTAAAACCTCCTGTTTGATTAAGCTTTTGGTTATCTAATCTAATACTTGTTTATGTGACTCAGTGTCATATTTTAACTAATAATGCTTCTGTGAAGTGCCTTTTGAATATTTCCTTACGCTGAAGGGGCTACACTCAGTATGATTTTTTGTGGATAGTTGTTCCTTAATTTCAAACATTTTCTGTTCAGATCCAAAATTAAGATTTCTAATTTGAGTTTCTATTAACATAATAGGACGTACATGCAATAAACTTTAAGCAGTTTTCTAAAAAAATGTTGGTCAAATAAATGCATTTAGTCTTGTTGATATTTATAACAAACGTTTCTAAGATATTCACAGGGCTATATTCAGAATGCCAATGCTTGAGCATTGTGTTGAATCAATTAAACATACTAAGTACAGCTGTCACTACAGACTTGAGATGTGCTCCCAATTTCCATCAAAAACACAGAGCTGAAAGGAGATTTAACACAGATTTTGAAATTGAATTGTTTTAATAGGGTGAAGAGGGAAAATTTTTTTCTTCCTGTTTTTTAGAGTCGGTATCAACAAAGGTCTATTGATTTAAAATTATTGCGAAAAAATTGAGGAGAGATGGGCCCTGACAACATATAATAGTATTGAAGACATGCTCCAGAAATTGCTGCTCCCCTAGCCAAGCTGTTCCTGTACAACAACAACACTGGCATCTACCTGACCATAAAATGCACAAGTATGTCCTTGTAAGAAAAACAGGACAATTCCAACTAATTACCATCCAATCAGTCTACTCTTGATCATTAATAAGGTGATAGAAGAGGTCATCAGCGGTGCTATCAAGCAACATTTGCTTAGCATTATCTTGCTCACCGATACGCAGTTTGGGTTCTTCCATGGCAAGTCGACTCTTGACCTCATTATAGCCTTGGCTGTAACATGGACAAAAGATCTAAATTCCAGAGGTGAAGTGAGAGTTACTGTCCTTGACCTCAAGGTTGAAATTAACTGAGCATTGTATCAAGGCATCCTATAAAAAACTAGAGTCAATGGGAATCGGGGGAAAACTCTCAGCTGGTTGGATTCATACCTGGCCCAAATGAAGGTGGTTAGTTGTTTGAGATCAGTCATCTCAGCCTCCAGAACATCTCTGCAGGAGTTCCTCAGGATGAGCTATCTTTCTGAATCAAACTGTTCAGCGATGTTATTACATAACTACAGGAAGAGGTGTGACTTGAACCCAGATCTCCTGGCTCGGAGGTAGGGACATCACTACTGCACCACAGGAGCCATTGAGAATGTATCCTAGGCCTAACTATCTTCAGCTGCTTCAATATCTTCCCTCCATCGTAAGGTCAGAAGTAGTGATGCTTGCACAATGTTCAGCACCATGCATGACTCCTCAGATACTGAAGAGGTCCATGTTCATATGCAGCAAGACCTAGACAATATTCAAATTTGGGCTGATAAGTAGCAAGTGACCTTTGTGTCACATGAGTGCCAAGCAATGATCACCTCCAAGATGAGAGAGTCCAACCATTGTCCCTCAACATTCAATGACATTACCATTACTGAATCCCCACTATCATCATCCTGGTGATAACCATTCTATAGAAACTGAACTGCCATAAAAATAACCACATGAACACAGTGGCTACATGAGCAGGCCAGAGGCTAGGAATACAATGGCAAGTAACACACCCCCTGACTTCCCAAAGCCTGTCCACCATCTACAAGGAACATGTCAGGAGTGTGATGGAATACTTGTCACCATCACCCATGAGTTCCTCTCCAAGCTGCCGACATTCTGGTTTGGAAATATATTACTGTTCCTTCAGTATCGTTGGATCAAATGTTCAGGAAACCCTTCCCTAACAGCATTGTGGGCAAACCTACACCAAATGGACTGTGGCAGTTCAAGAAGGCATTTCTCCATCACTTTCTCCAGGGCAACTAGAGATATGAATAAATGCTCAACCAGCCAGCAATGTCCACATCCCCTGATGAATAATGAAAAAGATACAAGTCTGTGGCAAGTACAGATGTAGCATTGGTTTTCGAGTGTTTTGTGCCAGGAACAATGGACTAAATGGCCTTCATCTGTGTTCTAAACTGCTGTGATGATAGGATATTTTTCTAACGAAGAGAATGACTATAATTGGGAGTTTCATTAGAAATTTAATAGTGTATTTTTATAGCTGTATGGCTGGACAAGTAAGATAATTGTCTTGAAGGAAGAATATTTATGTAGCAGTTTATTTTTAACAACTCAATCAAAATAGCATGGCCTATTTTGTTGGAGAAGGGGAATGTTGCTTCATTTCACACTCCTCCACAGAACATAATTTCTTCCGATCAGTAATCTTTCTGGATTGTTTTGTTCATTTTTCTTTTAACCCAGTTTTATTCATTTGGAATCCGAACTGAAGAATTAGTTACTGCCTCATACAGTGTTTTAATGATCAGGATCACAGCCCCTTTCTCTTTTCTAAAGACTGAAGTTCTGTCTTTTCCATGTTAGAGAAACTGTGAGCCGGGGAATGTTTCCAGGGCCATGGGGGAAGAGCAAGGAAGTGGGAGACTCTCAAGAGTATTCTTTCAAAGAACTGGCCTGGGGGCATTAAACAAATTGGCTTCTTTCTGTACTTACATAATGCCAAGTAGAGTGGTGAAATTCAGTAAAATGAAGGACCTGAATTTCAGGCTTCTGCCTCTTTGGAGGTAATTCAAGTTTACAGTCACTTTGAGACTAACACCCAATTTCAGCAAGGAATAAGGAGCCTAGGGCAGGATTTGCACTGCTGATCATTCCATCTCAGAATGGCCCAGTCTTCACTCTGGGAGGTAAGTGCAGAATGGATTCTATTGACACTTGGGGTAAACCCAGTCGTGGCGAGTGTAGAAGCAGGTTGATTAGAAGCCCACCTCATTTCTCTGGGACCTCATCCCAGTTGTGTTATAAAATTTTAGGCCCTAAAACCGTCACCCCTCGTATCCTGTCAACACTTCCTACCTATCCCCAGTTCCCCTTAAACCTTCAGATGTAAGAAAAATACTGTGGATGCTGGAAAACCTGAAAAGAAAACAGAAAATCCCACAAAAGCTCAGTAGGTCTGGCAACATCTGTAGAGAGCGAAACAGAGTGAATATTTGAAGTCTGAAATGACTCTTCTTCAGAACCAAAAGGAACTGGAAAGTGGTCATTTTCATACTGTAGATAGAGGACGTGGTAGGAACAAGTCGAAAAGATGGTGAAGGTTCCCAGAGCAAAAGGCAAATACAGTTCTTATGGTGGTAAAGGAGAGGGAAAGATGAAATAGTTGTAAATTATAGGTGTGAAAATGAGCAAATGTGTCTGTTGTGTTGAGAGCCAAGCCAAAAAGGCACAGTGGGGAGGGGGTGATTGTAATTAAAATGGAGGACAAAGGTCAGGCTCTGAAATTGTTGAACACAATATTGAGTCCTTGAAGATGTAAAGTGCCAAAGCAGAAATCTTTCTGTAGCTTGCATTGAGCTTTGAACACTGTAGCAGGTCCAGAACAGAACGTGGAAGCAAGGTGGTTTATTGAAATGGCAAGCAACTAAAAGGTTGATAGTAGCTTGCCCCCATGCTAACAATTCCATCTGGGCCTGTTAGTGTTCCAAGAAAGATCAATATAAACCGGAGGAACACATAATATCCCACTTAGACACTTTACAGCCTCTTGGATCCAACATTGCGCTTAACAACTTCAATGCATGACCTCAGTCCTCCACTTTGATTACTTTTATTTATGTGCCTCAACCGACAGCTATCCTGCTGCCAACAGCTAAAGACCGTTTATCTGGTGGTTATCGCATTGGTATTGGTAGGGTACAAGGTTGGCTGGCACACTTCCTCTATTCCAAAACTGACAATATCTGGAAAATGATTCGTTGCTTGTTTTAAAAGAAAGAGATGCCTCAAGATCATGAAAGGTAACTTTTATCAACTCCAGTTTTTCTTTAACTGCGCTGGTCACGATTAGAGAAAAATGAAATCCAGACCAATACATTTTGCCTTTTGTGCTATGCTTTTTTTTTGTAACAAATGAAAAGAAAAATATATTAGTATGGAGTTAAGCTCCACCACCTGATGCTTTTCATTGGTCCTGGATAAAGACAGTGGAAATCCCAAAGCTTAGAACTACTATGTTACATTGCTGAAGCACATAAAATGTATTCAATTATGCTGATCACAAATGTGAACATTTATAAAATGTCCTCTTAAAATTGGATTGTTATTTAACAACTCCATTGCTCTCATATTGATCTGTTTTTGCTAAATTGACTACCTGGTTATTTTAAGGGTTTTAACAATCAATGCTGACATGTTGTTCTATCTCTTCCAGAATGTGAACGAACTGAATCAGTGGCTTTCGGCTATCAGGAAAGCCAGTATCTGCAATGAACGCACGCTTGCATCCTTTCATCCAGGTTCTTACAGGAGCAACCGCTGGACTTGTTGCCTGCACACTGACAGGACAGGTATATCAGTGAAAAAGTCCCCTCTCCCCCTCCCATTAAAACTGAACATTGACATTAGAAGCCAATTCAGGAAAAGTCAATGTTTACTGCTGCCACGTCTTTTTTGCTGACATCATCACGCAGTCGAACAACTTCTTACAAAAACGTTAGCTATGTTTAACCTTTGTTTGCACTCAATGACTGTGTGACCAGAATGTTGAATTTTCCCTGTCACAAAATGTATTACTATCGATTATTGTTGCTTTTTTCATCTATAAACCTCCTTGATAAATATTTCTTATGTAACTTGCAAAACTGATCATATTAAAATGATTAGTGATTCATGTGTATTATGCTCGCTTTCTTTACAGTGGATTAAATTAAACTCAATTTCTGTCTCACCAAGAGGTGTTTGTTATGATCCCAAATCAGGCTGCCAGCTTTATGTTATGATCTCATACGAGATCAGCGAATTATGTTACAATCTCAACCAGACAGCCAATTTTATGTTACAAGCTGGACATGAACCAGTATATTTATTTTTAAAGTACACAGAATTTGAGATCCAGGAGACCCAATAAGAGAATAAAGCTGCAAGACTTCAATGTTTTGAACAAACAGCACTTTTAGAACAATAATACCATCTACAACTTACTTTTAACACCAGAATGAAGATGTAGTCAACATTGGATAATATCCTGTGCTTGAACACCCAATGCACATCAAATAGCAAATGCAAACAGGACAGATCCTATGAATTTCCTCAGTAATTCTCCCAAACTTTTAATTACACATCTGCAAACAGTATTTCATAGACTCCCCACAGTGTGGGGACAGGCCATTTGGCCCAACAAGTCCACACAGACCTTCTGAAGACCATCCCACCCAGACCCATTCCCCATAGCTAATGCATCTAACCTGCACATCCCTGAACACTATGGGACAATTTAGCATGGCCAACCCACCTAACCTGCACATCTTTGGGCTGTGCGAGGAAACCAGAGCATGGCAGAAACCTACATAGACACCAGGAGAATGTGCAAACTCCACATAGACTGTCGCCCAAGGCTGGGATCGAACCTGGGTCCCTGGTGCTGTGAGCCACTGTGTGTCTTCACACTGAGCTACTGTGTCTCTTCACACAGGCTGCTTGACTTGCTGAGTATTTCCTGCATATTTTGTTTACAGTCCATCTTGTAACCTGGTGAAAGAATTCCAGAGTTTAATGGATTTTGGATGTCTGACCACTCAAACCTGAAAAAGTAGGCATAAAAGTGAGGAAATTTATGTAATTATACAATCGTGAGTCTAACGCTTTTGCTCCCACACTTCCCTGATCTTTTACACAGAATTAAATACTCAGTAGGTCAGGCAGTGTTAGTAGATATTTTAACTTTTTCCTTCAGTTAACATTTCATGTTAGTGATTTTCATTCAGAACGTAGTTTCTAATGTCATTTAAGTTTTGAAAATTGCTAATGTGACATTCTTCAGTCTTTCCTCAAATCAGTTGACTTTAGGAACAGTGTGACTTTATAATTAAATCACGATTTCAAAAGGACCGTGATTGGATCCCAAGCTTCCAGGAACACTGTCGGTCTTTCAGTGGCTGTAGGCACTAGATTTTTAATCAATGGCATAAAATTCCAGGATTTAGTCACCTATTCAACCTGCTTAACTTAGTAGTCATCATGTGACAAGTAGACTATTCTGTTCTAGAGCTGCAACAAGGCAGAATTTCCTAATCTCATCTAGAAAGCACCATAGCATCCTGTAAATTCTACCGTGGCTTTTGATAACATCCATCCTGATTGAACATTTTAGCAGCTTCTTAACAAGAAACAGCAGCTCCTGTTTCCCACCACAAGAATAGGCCAGAAGGCCTGGGCTCGTGTTCTACCTGTTCCAGAAATGTGTAAACAATATCTCTGAATGCATTGATTACAAATATATATAAACATATCGTAGTGTGGGGGCTTGTGGGACAGTGGTAGATTCCCTATCTCTGAGCCACGAGGCTCGGGTTCAGGTCCCACCTGCTCCAGAGGTGTGTCTGAACACATTAAATAAAATGATGAAACACATTGTAGCATAAACACAATGACTGCAATGTTTGATAATCCTTCAGTACAGCTTGCTTTCTGTTTGTTTAACAGTTCGGGGATGCAGCCGCACACATTCTGCTGTAACCCTAGGTGACTGGAGTGATCCACTTGACCCAGATGTTGAGACACAGACCGTTTTCAAGCAACTCTTACAAGGCAGAGAAAAGCTGAAGTGAGTAACTTAAATTGCAGTGTAACATACAAGCGACATCTGAATGCTCTATCATAGAGAAGTGGATTTGATTTGATTTATTATTGTCACATGTACCAAGATACAGTGAAAAGTATTGTTTTGCGTGCTAACCAAACAAATCATACCTTACACAAGTACATCAGCATAATAGAACAGAATGCAGAATATATTGTGACAGCTACAGAGAAGGTGGAGAGAAAGCTCAACTCTAATATATGAGAAGTCTGTTCATAAGTCTGATAACAGCAGGGAAGAAGCTGTTCTTAAATCTGTTAGTCTGTTGGTGCTGTTGTGAAGTTGGGTAGTGTACTTGTGGATTGGGAGGCAGGAAGTTAGAATTTGGTGTTTGTAAAATGCTAAGGGGACAAAGCATTTTATGGTCCCTTTAAAAGACCATGTGCTTTTTCTGTGCTTGGAGATTTAAAATGGATGTCTGTGAGCAGCAGGTTGAAAGTTTGCAAGTACACAGAGAGCATCCGAATTAAAACATTTGTATCAATAAGCCATGCAGTTAGCAAGCCAAGCAGCAGTTTTTACCAAGACAACAAGCTTTTGAATTTAGCCAATCAATTTGAACCAGGTACTTGGATACCAAAAATCTATTAAATTTAAATCTGTTGGCTTTGACAACATAGGACCAATCATATTCTAAGAAATATTGATTTGTCATCAAGCATATAAAAAGAAGGGTGCAGTTGGACAAAGCCCCAGAGCTAGCTGCAATCTGCCAAAGCTAACGGCCCTCAGCTCTCAAGAGAGAATCGCTGGCTCTCACAGCCTCCTATATGTTGTAGAGAAAGCACCGTCTAAATAACAATGGTACCAATGACACAACTAGTTAGTATTCCTGACAGAAGAATTGATGGAGAAGGCACAGAACATATATATATAAGAGGTGGGACTTTATTCATTGGAACAGCATACCATTAAATCTTTCTTTATTCATGAATAGTTAGCAGTTAGAAGAGATTTATTCAGTTTGTTAATAGTTTAGTTAATTTGTTCACTGTTAGAGTTAGATAAATAAGTTTTTACTTGTTGATTTTAAAGTGAATGTCAAGGATTTATTTTATTTAACCTCTGGAAGTTGCTGAAAAGCAGTTTACACCACTTTTCACGCTCCTTTTACAGATTATAGGGCAAGGTGTTCCTCTTTGGTTGTTGTTCTCAGAAGTGGGGGAGGGAGGTAAACATCCACTTTATAACAATACTGTTTTCAAACTTTTGTATCTTTTGCCCAGTGGAAGAGGGTAGAAGAGATTGTAACCAGGGTGGGAGGGGTATTTGATTACGTTCATAGAATCCCTACAGTGTGGAAGCAAGCCATTTGGTCCAACATGTATACACTGCCCACCCACCCAGACCCTATCTCTATTGGCCTGCATTTCCCATGGCTAATCCACCTGGCCTGCACATCCTTGGACACTATGGGATAATTTAGCATGGCCAGTCCAGCATCTTTGGACTGTGGGAGGAAACTGGAGCGCCCAGAGGAAACCCACACAGATACATGGAGAATGTGCAAACTTCACACAATCACCTGAGCGTGGAATTGAACCCAGGTCCCTGGTGCTGTTAGGCAGCAGTGCTAACCACTGAGCCATCGTGCCACCCAGCGGGATGTTGGCTGCTTTCCCGAGGCAGTGGGAAGTATAGACGGAGTCGATGGAAGGAAGGCTGGTTTTCGTGATGGACTGGGCAGTGTTCTCAAATCTCTGTAATTTCTTGTGGCCTTGGGCAGAGTAGTTGCCATACCAAGCTGCGATACATCCAGTAATTTCAGCAGCTGAGTGCTCCAAGCCTTTGTGCTTAAGTGCATTCTGATTTCTCATGATTTATATTCCCTGCATAAGATTGATTTCAGTAGAGTCTAGAACAACAACTATCTTGGTTTCCAGGTGTTTTACTTTACTGTAGCAGATTTTCCATTAAATGAAAAAGGAAATGGCCAACGGATGGTTGCACAAAGCAGGTGGATCAAGTACGTTCAACAATAGCTGAGAGATAGCAAGAACTGCCGATGCTGGAGTCAGAGTCAACACAGTGTGAAGCTGGAGGAACACAGCAGGTCAGGCAGCATCAGTGGAGCGGGAAAGTTGATGTTTCGGGTCTGGACCCTTCTTCAGAACTTCTGAAGAAAGGCCCCGACCCAAAATGTTGACTTTCCTGCTCCTCTGATGCTGCCTGACCTGCTATGTTCCTCCAGCTCCACACTGTGCTGACTACAAAAGCTGTTCTCTTTACGTACTTTATTCCATTTACCTAGACATTCAGCTAGTACTGCCTGATCTTTGAATTCTTGTTGGCTTCAAGCCCCTCTTGGAATGGAGGGATTCATCCGTTCCATCTTTGTTTTTAAGTTATTTATTCCCAGGAAGTAGGTAACAATGGAAGCCCCTTGTGGTCAGTGGTAATGTCTGATCCAGGAGGACCAGGTTCAAGCCCCATGTCTTCCAGGAGTAAATAATTATGTCTGTCAGCAGCTGATTAGAAGATACATGAAGGTACCAGTAGCAAGACCCATTAGTTACCTGAGAGATGGAGAATCAGCGTTTCTGTTCTTACATGCTTGGAGTTTGGGATATGGAGTGCTGAAGAGCACAGAGATAGGTTCCTTACCTAAAATGAAACAGTTGGACATTTACAGGAATAAGCCCTTCACTCAGCAAACACCTAATGTGCAGCTCAATAATGAGCTTATTGGTCACATGGGTCTTAGTGTATCTGCATGCTGAGGCTGTTCATGGCTGCCTCAAAGGTGTTCAGGGAAGAGAGCAACTTCCTTTTGAATAATTTTGACAGCTGGGAATTGAGCTTCCACATACATGATCTGTTTGATGATCGTGAATAACGTGTACATCTGTGGGGTGTGGGTTTGTGAGGGTAAACTCATGGTGTATAAAAGCCTGAAGAACCACATTGTCACTGAAACCTTGAACCTTATTGACCCTGTTCACATTACTGATTCTCAGCCTGCATTGAAAAAAGCCTGAAATTATTCAGTGTCCCGCACATCCATCACTGATCTCTCTACAGGATAGATTGACTCATGATGTTGATGTTGCTATGGAATCTGTGCCATAAAATCTTTGGACTGTGTCTATCTGTGATATATACTGGCCATTCTACTCCTGTAGGGGGATTTGGTTAGTGAACATGCTCAAGTCTTGCACTCATTGTGGGAAATGACAGGTACAAGCAGTTTGCCTTCTGTAGCATCAACCACCTGGCATCTCCTTTTTATTTCTTTGTTTTAATTTGTACAAACCAACTGGAATGTCCATGCTGTAAATTATAGGCCATGCAACTAACAGATTACAGCTAAAATCTTTGGTTCCATCATTAAAAAATAAGAGTATCATGAAATGAAGCTTCATGTGTCACAAATCACCACACAAATTGCAGTGTTAAATCCCAGAACGCATACATTCCAAGTCTCTCTTTAAACAATTGGGCACTTTTATCCTTTACATTATTTTCTATTAAATGGGAATTTATTCTTTGTTCAGTTGAAGAATCTATTCCTAGTTTGTACGGTAGAAGATTGTGTGTGTGTGTGTGGTTTTTTTACTGCAGATTATTACCATTGATTTGCTTATTGTAATGACAGTTGCCCATTTACAGTGAAAACTTTGATCAACTTTATGCTGCACCTACAGTTGTGCATATGGTCTGCTATAGACTCATGCATGATTTCCCAGTGCTTATTTCCCCTTGCAGAGCACCAGCAGTTATTAGAAAATAAACCTTCACTAAGAACAATTCTCCTCATAACAATACATAAGTATTCTTGTTTTTATTATAGTTGACCAGAAGAATGCATCAGACAATATTAGATTATGTTTCACTATTTACAAGTTACAGGAGAAACAAAGTTGCTGTTGTAATTAACAGAAGTTAATTTATCTTGATATGGTCACATTGTTTGAATGAGTGAACGAAGGAAACAATTAGCAACATGATCAGTTGATCAATCATGCTTGTTACTCCGGAGATTCTCAGGCTAAAAATGCCCGAGGAGACTGAAACAATAGATTACACCACTAGAGGCCAGTACATTACCAGTCATCCTGTCCAAATTGCCAATTCAAAGTGGCTTGCAGTTTTGAATTATTTAACACTTTAAAAACTAATCTGTGAATATTCAACATCAATACTTCTGAATTTCCTCCCTCTTTATTTATCATACACCCATGGTTAATAAACGGGAATGGAGGGCTGAATGGGCTGGGACTATTTTCCTTGGCGTGTCGGAGGCTGAGGGGTGACCTTATACAGGTTTATAAAATCCTGAGGGGCATGGATGGGGTAAATAGAGAAGGTCTTATCCCTGGGGTGGGGGAATCCAAAACTAGAGGGCACACATTTAAGGTGAGAGAGGAAAGATATAAAAGGGACCGAAGGGGCAACCTTTTCACGTAGAGGGTGGTAGTGAATGGAATGAGCTGCCAGAGGAAGTGGTGGAGGCTGGTATGATAACAACATTTAAAAGGCATCTGAATGGGGAAATGAATATGATGGATTTAGAGGGACTAGATTAATTTATGATTTAGATTTATATCGGATATCTGGTCGGCATGGACGAGTTGGACCAAAGGGTCTGTTTCCGTGCTGTATGTTTCTATGTCTCTATGACTCTATGATAATAAAATAATAAAGGGTAAAACCTTGTCTTATTAGCAATTAAGAACTATTAATTTTAAAAATGCAAATAAAAATGTCCAGTGAAGAACTCATGATGGCAATTTAGATTATTTCAATTTATCAGTACACTGTCTTCATAAAAAAGGGCAAATTGTAATGTGTGATTGGTATACAAATAAGATGCATCATTGTGGATCAAAAACATTGTCATGTGTTGGAAATGCGTTGTTTGCACATGAAATTATCATGACAAAAAAAGTTATAAGTGGCTTTTTCCCCCTTTCTTTCTAATGAGTACAAAGTTGACTTGCCTCGATATAACTTAAGGATTTCGAGACAAATTTTAATTCCATGCACCTTTGCCAGTTTTGAATAGGTTAAAGTTGGGCTGTTGCACCTGTAAAGTGCTGATTTTACAGTGGCACAGGTATTGTAAGTTAGTGCTTACGTTGCTGAACTAGTAATACACAGGCCCAAACTAATGATCCAGACATGTGGGTTTAATTCTAAATTTAAATTTAATTAATTAAATAAAAATCAGGAAAAAACACTAGTCTTAGTAAAAAAAAACTACACAGAGGCTGGTATCCCATCACCAGGTCACCATTTATTTACTTATGAAGCATACACTCGCAGTGACCAGCCAGCTTGGAGTCAGTCCCCTGAACTGAGGACACTCTCATCTACTGGTTATATTAGTCAGCCAGGGCTTTCCTGATTGGTCCAGGTTAGCAACCCCAACCAAATGACCGCATAGTCAATGAGGTCAACCTGGTTCCAATATTAACTATTGGAGAGATGTGGGAAAAATTGGTTCACTTAAGCTCTTTAGGGAAGGGAATCTGCACTCTTTACCTGGGATCTGGCCCAACCATGACTCCCTACTCAGAGCAATGTGACTGACTCCTAATTACCCTCTGAAATGATCAAGCAAAGTAGTCAGTTGCATAAGGATTCCCAAGACTGAACAAAAAAGAAATATGAACAAATATGAGCTGACAACAGCAGAAATTCTTAATTATGATTTTTAATTACAATATTACTTGTTGTTGGAAATGATTTCAAACAAAATTGAAGTGAAAGTACTGTGTTGAACTGCAATGTTAAACAGCTCCAACTAGAACTCTATAAGAAATTTTGTCTCCTGTTTTCTCTTTTTAGACAGAAGTACCTTGAATCTTTAGATGCAGAAACTGTGATGGGCCAGGAAGGAAGAATACATGGTGTGGGGATAGAGGAAGGTACTTACCTTTCAGCATTAACTCTTACACATTGAAATTAGTTACTTATTCAATGAACCAGTACTTTTTCTGGAACTAATAAACTACTACCGTTACTATAAGAAGCAAATGTTGTACTAGCAACATAGTGTAATGTACTCTTCTTGCTTGAAAAGGTTGTTAAAAATGTCTTAGAGGTGTTAATATCTGAGAATGAATTCCAATGCTACAAGTCTAAAAAATTAAATTGCACATAAAGCTAGGTCTAGTGAGGGTCTCAACGATATTATACACGCAAAGAACATCTTATTACTATTCAAAAAATATCTAAAGAACTGCAGACGCTGAAAATCAGGAACAAAATCAGAAATTGATGGAAAGACTCAACAGGTCAGGCATCATCCAGGGAGAGAAAGCAGAGTTAAAGTTTTGGGTCCAGTGACATCCTGAACAGGGGTCACTGTATCCGAAATGCTAACTCTGCTTTCTCTCCACAGATGCTGCCTGACCTGCAGAGTTTTTCCAGCAATTTCTGATTTTGTTTTCGATTTCATAACTAGAACCATCCTCAGGTCTGGAGGCCAGTTGGAAAAAGTTGTTAAAATAAACAATGGGAAACATAGCAGGTAGATTGCTCTGGCGTGGCAAAGTCATAAAGATACTCTTTTTGAACGATTTACAAAATCACCACACACATTTTCTAAAAGATCTATTGGAATGTTTCTGAAGGAAGTGCTTCCAAAAGAGAATATGCAAAATCAATCTCAGTAACAGTTTTAAAATCCACACAGTCAAGCAAACAGAGATGGAGACTGTGCTCTCAATCTGGGCCTACTTCAGGCTGGAAGCAGCTTCAGTAATCAAAATGTTAAAATTCTGTTGTTTAAAATTGAAGATTGTTATTATTTGACAATGGCTGATACTTGTTGATGGTGTTAGTTTGTCTTCATCCAAGTGTTACATTGAAGGAATGCGCAATATCTTTTGATGAGGTTGAATTACTTTGCAGTGATATCATGACTCACAATTCAAAATCTATTGTATGCATCAGGAGTTGCCAAGAGCTGCTCCTTTCATGGTCGGAAGATGTCAGCGGCTGCCAGACTGCTGGATGTTGTGCAAGATCTTGAACGTGCTCACCAGGCATTCGAACAGAGAGAGAAAGAGGAGCAGGCCAATGAGATGGTGGCTCCCTGAGTCGTACTGAGGCAAGACATCTGAAAAATCAGTTTGTGCGCTATGTGCAGTGTGCCACATACCAGTCCAGGCGTACAGTGGATTTAACAAGAGCGAATTCAACAATACAAATGTCAACAAACTGAAGTACAAACTTGCAGGTGTAATGGACACTGAGAGCTGCAGAATGGTTCAGACATTCCTTTACAAGCTGCATTAAAAACATTAAAGAGAACGGGATTGTCATCATATCCAAGCAACTTCGGGGGAAAGTTGCTGATTTGTTGCTGTTTAAGACTGAGGATGGGATTTCATCTACTACTAATGTAAGGCAGCTGAGCACAGGCACCTATTAATGCAAGAGCAGTGGCTACGTTTGAACGCTTTCCTGTCTGTTCTTTGGAGATGTTTCAGTTCCATGCATTGTCTCCAGTAGTTTGTAATTGCACCACAGGAAACCAAAAACAATAAATGTCTGAAATTATACATCACAACCAGATGTTGAGAACCCAGCGTCTGTATGGCAGCTCTGCACCACAGGCACGCATGTCAACTTGCCAAAACATCACTGCACTGCTCAAAGCTGGTTCAGAAATCACAGCTAATTGTGGCAGTATTTTTGTTTCACTGGCAAAAGTGGTTATGTCCTTCCAGACTGAGCTGTTAACTTCTTTGTGTGGCAGGAGGATATCTTACTGGATTAAGTGCAGTTAAGGGACTTACGACATTGACAAATATGATGAAGCGAATTGCATAAATTATATTGCCTCTCTGTTTTCAATTGATCTTTCAACGTACCTAATTTCCTGATAGTCTGTTAACAAATTAATCAAGTTGTTGTACTGCTTCATGATAAAAACCCAACTGTTAATAGTATACTCTCTGCAACATGCAGTTCAGAGGCCTGGGTTTCTGGAGCTGATTATTATTTCATCAGATATGCCGGGCTGGCCAATTTCATACATGCTAGAGGTGTGTTCTTAGTTAAAGGGGTTAGGTTAGGCCTTTATCTTTAATGCACATTTCAATAGTTCCGGCAGCTTCCCAGTGAAATTACACTTTCTGCCAAGATGTTAGGAAAGGTGGTACGTATGAGATGTATTGGAAACTTTTAAATTTTGTGTTTCATGGCTTTTTTAAAGATCATGTCACCAAGTGCACATACTTACAGATTAAGTTATGTACATCCCCTTCTGCATTTGGTGTATGCATAGATCAACTGACAACATAGAAATATCAGTTTTGATGCAGCAACCATTTAAGGATCTGTATTGCACCATTGAAATTGTATTTATTACACACAACAGTTGAAGTGCCATTAAAATTTCTAAAACAAAATTTATTAATTAAAGTTCCTAAGACCGAGAATCATGAGTAGTTTTGTGCATTAATGTTCAGTACTTGCAAAGTCCCATTTGAAAATGTTCTTTGCTTCAACATTTGCAGGAATACAGAAATTGATTGATGCCTTTGGATGCACCCTGGCTAAATGATCGGTTTATGACATTTATTTCCCACATTTTTTGTGCCTCCAGAATTAAATCACACTAGATGGCATCTTACACAAGGCAGGAGGTGTAATCAGTTGTATCCTGCACTGGTTTCACAGATTTACAACAGCACAAAAGGAGGCCTTTTGGTCCATCGTGTCTGCACTAGCTCTTTGAATGAGCATCTCAACCAATACCATTCCATAACACCCATCCCTCGACACCTCCTTTTCAAATGACAGTCTAACTCCCTTTGAATGCGTTAGTTGAACCTGCCATTACCACACTCTCAGGCAATGCATTCCAGGCCCTTACCACTTGCTGAGTGAAAACTATCTATCTTCCCATCCCTTTTACATCTTTCACCAGTTACTTTAAATCTGTGCCGTCTTGTTCTCAATCATTTCACTTGTCCATCTGTCCAGAACCCTCAAGATTTTGAATACCTCATTCAGACCCTGTCCACCAGTTTTATGGGTAAGTGAATGTTTTGTTCAAGTTTGAAAGTAACAGTAAGAATTATTGAAATGCCCCTACCCCTTAAACTGCCCATTACCCCCTCATCCTCACTAACTCTCGGCACAGCCAGAACAGTATCTATGTCGGTTTTTGTTTGATCACCTTTAGCAAGATTGTTAGCAAAATGCCACTTTCATTGTGTCTCAATGTGGGATTGTTGGCAGTGTGTATCAATTGTTCCTGGGTGCTTAATTTATTTTGAAATTGAATTGCCTGCATTTGCAGCTTCAAATTAATGTAGAATTTTCATGTCGTACCGTCTGTCGTGCTGTAAATCCAGCACTGCTGCTAACGGGAGGAAGAAATTTAAAGTAAGCCCTTAATTGAGAATACCATTAAAGAGTGTTAGCACTATTCTGGGCCCAACATCATTCAATGGCAACACTAGATTATTAAAGTCCAAAAGAGAAACTTCATGAAATAGAAACTCATAAATCATGTAAGGTCAGTGGAATTTGTTGTGTGTATTGTATGTCTTTCTAGAGCAAAATGAATAAATGTCCAGAAAAGTTTGTTTTTCTTTGGCAAAATTAGAAATTTTGAGGAAAATTATCACTCTTTCAGGAGATATCTGAGATTTAGTTTTTCACTTATTGAATTCCAGTCTCAATTCCTATTCTTAAAACGTTTCACTTTTCTATTACCACAGATTTCCACTTCTCTCCCTGCCAAACGTCCACCACACTATTCTGCAGTGTGTGCGGTTATGAAGGCAAAGGTAAAGTTGCCATAGTCCTACTAGACCATAGAGCCGCTCTGTCATTAGAGAGAGAAACAACTGGTGGTGGTTTAACCTAAGGGTCACCACACCTCAGGCAAGGGGAGAGTTGTGAATGAAATGTGTGGGTTGCTCACAAGCTACCCTCTTTAGGATATTGTGTGAATATGCAACAAGCATTAAAGGTACCACGCATATCAGGCATAATAGGCCGCACACCTCAAAATTTCGGGCAACCATTGCCTTTCACATTCTGCAAGAATTTGTCTGATAATCTCTTTTCAACATGCTTTGTTAATGTGTCCAGAATATTGGAATCTGTGAAGCATGGGCAGAGCAGTAAACATTGTTTTGTTAATCATCTCCCAAAAAACAAACCACACATTAGTTAACTTGCTACAAAACACCATGGTTATTCTATGGACAGAAAATGCATAGAGCTGATTCAGGACCAGAAGAACCTGTATATAGTTTTTAGTGACTCTTGTTTTTCTTGAGTAGTTCCTTTGAATTCAGACCTGCAAAGCCTTTGATTGCTTCCTGATGGCCATCATTCACCAGTATATAAAAACTGAAAGAACTGTGGATGCTGTAAATTAGGAACAAAAACAGAAGGTGCCGGAAAAGCTCACAACTGAGGAAGGGTCACCGGACCCAAAACATTAACTCTGATTTTCTTCTTCACAGATGCTGCCAGACCTGCTGAGCTTTTCCAGCAACTTCTGTTTTTGTTCACCAGTATATGTTCTGTATTTTAATACTTACATGACTTGCAGACTTAAGATTCTTCTGTCAATGTGGTGCTGTTGTTGAGGGGTGTTGGGAGAAGTGTAACGGTGCACACAGGTGTGGTTCTATAGTGTATTAAATATTGGAAGAAGCTCCAAAGTTTGACACTGCCATTTTACTAAGACCAGCTTTGCACCAAAGCCTTTATTGTTATGATTCAGATGTTGTTTTGGCTTTTAGTCGTATACTGCACTCAAATGCTGAGATGAAGTGATTTAAATTCAAAGATTTCACAATAGTGAGTGTGTCCAGTTTTATATTCAATGTGTAGTGCACAGCGTTCTGTTGTAACAAATTTTGGTGCATGATGTCTAAGGTATCCCTAATTGCAGAGTAATTGTGATTTACGTATTTTATCACATTTGACAATGATACTGTGACTGTGTAGGTGAGAATTATGTTTATATGTATATACATGTTACCTGAACACATGCTGAGGTGGTGGAGTGGCCCATGTATCAGCACTGCCTTAAATTTGTGATTGTAAGCATATCTGAACAACATTTTTAAGTGACTTTATTTTTAAAAAATGCATCTGTTGCATATTGGGCATTGATATTTGCTGCCTGTGAATGTATAATGATTTATCCCAATTCTATGAAGTGGTCTTTTGTGGCTGAACGCAAGTTGGTGCCAATAAGTGATCCACATATAATAATACATAGCCAAATGATGTTTGCCAGATTTGTATTTATATATCAGTTTTCTAAAAGCATCAACTGTGCTTTTTGCTGAGAAGTTTCAATTCAAATGTGTAATGGATAGGCATTCCTTTAAATGTGATGACCTCTGTCAGAAATTAGGCTATGGAATTTTATGTATTTTGCACAGCATTAAATATCTATTATATGTACATGAATGTGCTACTCATAGTTTTTACCACAAATATCCAAAAAAACAGAAATAAAAATAAAAGTTATTAACACGCCAAAAATAAACTCACTTTCTTCTGACCATGCACTTCACTCTCAGCTAAAGAACACACTCAGCATCTCTGCTATGGTGTCTGCACTTAATGAAAGACTGCTTTTATAAATATTTTCTCATTAACCTGTGCAGAGATGTTATTGAACATCTCCAGAACAAGTGGAGCTTGAACTCAAGCCTTCTGGCTCAGAGGTAGGGACCTTATCACTGTGCCACAAGAGTCCCAAGACTTACCTTTGTATAATTTTACATCCACCAAAGCATTTTACAGTCAATTAAGTTCTTTTGATGTGCAGTCACTATTGTAATAGCAGAAGTACGGGAGCCAATTTGCAAACAGCAAGCTCCCATGAATTTCAATGTTACGTTGGCAAGGTAATCTGTTTTTGTGGTGTTTATTGATGATAAATATTGACCAGGATAGCAGGGAGAGCTCCTCTGTTCTTCCCCAAAAGATGTCCATTGACCCTTTTACAGTCACCTGCAAGAATGGCAAATATGGGGTGGCATGGTGGCTCAGTGGTTAGCACTGCTGCCTCACAGCACCAGGGACCTGGGTTTGATTCCACCCTCAGGCGACTGTGTGGAGTTTGCATGTTCTTCCTGTGTCTGTGTGGGTTTGCTCCAGTTTCCTCTCAGTCTGAAGATGTGTAGGCTAGGTGGATTCGCCATGCTAAATTGCCCGTAGCATTCAGGGATGTGTAGATTACGTGGATGGATCTGGGTGGGCTTCACCGAGGATCAGTGTGGACTTGTTGGGCTGAAGGGCCTGTTTCCACACTGTAGGGATTCTATGGCTTCAGTTCAATATCTCATCCAAAAAATGGCATGTTTAAGAATGCAGCAGTCTCTCAGCACTACATTGAAATGTCAGCTTTGATTTTATGCTCAAGTTCTGGGATAGGACCAGTACTTTAACTATTCTGAAATCAGTGTGAGAATCATCCTAACTGAGCCCTAATAGAAAAACTTAGACATGGGATGATACTGAACCAGTGGAATTGTCAAATTATCATAGCAATCAAATAATTAATCTACAAAAGGCCCAAAATTGAGGCAAAAAAAAAAAACAGGAGCAAAGGACTTTTTGAACTGTTGGCACAAAATCATCGCTCAAGATTGTTACTACATCTCATAGAGGTCTACTGCACAGAAAAAAGACCCTTTGGTCCATCAAATCTGCACCAGAAACAAGTACCACACTATTATAATCTCATTTTTCAAGTTCTTGGACCATAGCCTTGTATGCCTTGGCATTGCAAGTGCACATCATCCCTCTAAATATATACATCCCAAAATGTTACTTTCTGAAAGTATTAGTATGAATCGCCAAGGAGTGAATGTGTGATAACTGTTCTACGTAGTAACTGTGGTGCACAATGAATACCTCACTATCAATTGAATCGGAACAAATTGACCATATTTGTGTTACACCTATTAAAAAGCTAACATTTAAAACATAATGGGCTGAATCTTATTTCGATGAAGTGTCATTACCATTGAGGGTTTCTCACTATAAGGTCCAGGAGGTTTTCTCACACTGTTGTCCCAAAGGTGCCTCACTGACTACCCTCTACCTACGTACCCTTTATGGCACGCTTCTCATCCGAAGTTAGCATATTTCTCCCAATCGCAGTAGGCAGCGGTAATCACCATTGTTGGGATAGTCCAGGATTCCTGCTGCTGGCAGATCTTTAAAAGGCACTTGTGTGCCTGGTTCGGCACTGACTGTCTGGAATTGTTCTGCACAGTTCATGATATTTACCCTGGACATTGTTGACCCCCCTTGTAGACAGAAACCTCAGGAATCACAAGGTGTCCGCTGTGACTTTCATTACAGGAATTCTCAGTATCTATCCAGTGCGAGCTTGCATATTGATGAGGTGATATTATGTTGTATGAGGATGATAATGAGTGATAATCCATGCTCATAGGCCTCTCGCTGTTAAAAAAACTATAACCTCACCAGCAAGAAAAGTCCGGAACTCCATTGGAAAATGCCATTTGTTGCCCCCAATACCAAGAAATGTCTTGAGTGATTTCTCATGTGCTTCTCCCACATTTCTCGCCATAGCCCATGTCCTTCAGGGTGCCTTGGGCAAAATAGTGCATCACATACATTACAAAAATCAAGGGATTGATCATGCATTCTGAGGATATGACAAGCATTAATCTTCACTGTGGCCCAGGAAAGTTCCAAATTTCATATGAATCATGTGCTTTTAGTCTGGTTAAAAACACCAACGCTATAATATGTTGGTTTCATTGCTGGTTTGTTACCAGCAAATTGAAATGCGTATAACTCACTGATTTTATAACCTTCCAATGTACTCAGAATTACAGCAACAAGCATAACCTGTAACCAAATGATTATTCATGGCGACAATTACTGGAATTTTGAGAATAATCCTAACTGAGCTAAATAAAACTGTTCACCTTTGACTCTGGTTACACTGTTAGATCCTCCACGGATAAATCTGGTACTTATTAAGCATAACGTTGAGTTTTTTGGTTTCAGATGCATTGCCTGTGTTTACATTGAAGCATAGAAACACAGACAACAGGAGCGGCAGTAGGCCATTCAGCCCTTTGTACATGCTCTGCTATTCAATACGATCACTAAGAACTATATCTAACTCCTTCTTGAAAGTATTCAGTGTTTTGGTTCAGTGTTTCTCAACCACTTTTTCTGACAGAGAATTCGACTCTCTGTATTTCCAATAACTTCTGTAATTCAATGCTGTCAGATTAAGAGGTATTTTGTCTAGAGCTCTTTACCCACCACTACTTTACCTATTGAATAAGAAACCTTTTCCTCTTTTGTCTCTGGATATATTGGCCTTTATGAGTTTTCTGAATTCCACTTAGTGACATATTCAATGTTCAATATCCCCTGGATGTCATTGATTGGAAGGGAACTAATATACATGTGGGGAGATTTGCTAGAGCTGCTCAGGAGGATATAAACTGGTAAAGGGGATGGGGAGATGGGGGTATGGGGGTTAGGACCCAGGGAAATTGTGAGGATAGGGATCAGTCTGAGACCGGTAGGGTTGGGAAATGGAGCAAGTCAAACAGTCAGGGCAGGTAGGAACAAAGCAGAGAACAAGGTAGGACTGATAAATTAAACTGCATTTATTACAATGCAGAAGGTGTAACAGGTAAGGCAAATAAACTCAGAGCATGGTTGGGAACATGGGACTGGGATATCATAGCAATTACTGAGACGTGGCTCAGGGTTGGACTGGACTGGCAGCTTAATGTCCCAGGGTGCAGATGCTATTGGAAGGATAGAATGGGGGGCAAGAGAGGAGGTGGAATGGCACTTTTGATTAGGGATAACATTACAGCTGTACTTGGGGGGGATATTCCCGGAAATATGTCCAAGGAAGTTATTTGGGTGGAACTGAGAAATTAGAAAGGGATGATCACCTTATTGGGATTGTACTATAGATACCGCAGCAGTCAGCAGGAAATTGAGAAACAAATTGTAAGGAGGTCTCAGTTATCTGTAAGAATAATAGGTGGTTATGGTAGGGGATTTTAACTTTCCAAACATAGACTGTGACAGCCATTGTGTTAAGGGCTCGGACAGAGAGGAATTTGTTAAGGGTGTACAAGAAAATTTTCTGATTCCGTATGTGGATGTACCTATAAGAGAAAATGTGAAACCTGACCTAGTCTTGGGAAATAAGGCAGGGCAGGTGACTGAGGTGTCAGTGGGGGAGCACTTTGGGGCCAGTGACCGTAGTCCTATTAGTTTTAAAATAATGATGGAAAATGATAGACCGGATCTAAAAGTTAAAGTTCTAAATTGGAGGAAGGCCCTTTTGATGGTGTTAGGCAAGAACTTTCAAAAGTTGATTGGGGGCGGATGTTTGCAGGTAAAGGGACAGCTGGAAAATGGGAAACCTTCA